ATTTAGACTTTTTTTTTTTTTGGTAGAAAAGAATTTTTTCTGCCTTTTGATGTTTTGAAGGGGACTTGTCTTTTATATGCGGCCATCTGTTTTCACTCTGCCCCGTAGCCACTGCAGATGGAGGTAGAGGCCAGCTTGGCAAGCTGTTCTCTCTGGAGCCATGGGGACTGCTGGTTTGGAGTTTATTCTTTTAGCGATAAGATGAGTCAATTTGCTTTGGGCCCAGAAGGGAGCTGGTGGTACATACTCTACCTCTTCTGAATGTGGGCCACTCTATTTCCAGGAAGACATCATAGAACTTGTGTAACTTGTGATGAACCCAACCTTGTATTATTTCCACATAGCTGCCAATGTCTGTCCTCTACACAAGATAGTGTCCCTTCTCTGGAGCATACAGGGATTTTTTCGGGTAGCCCAGAGGCACTAAGGATTGACCTTTGGCTAAAGACAGGAGGGAGAAGACAGGACTCTTGTCCCTTAGTGTTTTGCCTCAAGCATCACTTGCTCCCTCCTAGAGTAGAGGCAGAGAGGCGGCAGAAACCAAAACCATTATCATTACTGGTCTATTTTCTTTTATTCATTTATTTAACACATTTAAAAAATTTTTAAGAGAACATTGTCATTGACAATAGCAATTCAGTTTATTTTGTAAGTGTTGTCTTCTTTGACTTTTAATGCAAAATCTCTCTGTTTTAGCTGGTTCCTCTCATTCAAAAAAAACAACTGGCTCCAAAGCATCAGCTTCACCATCTACTTCCTCCACCTCGCCTCATCCCAAAGCTTCAAAGGAGACGGTTTCTAACAAAACAGGGCCTGTGGGAATCACGAAGGGCAAGAAAAAAACTGGCAAGCAGCCAGCGTCTCGACCGTCCTCAGATGCAACCACTTCTGGCACGTCCGAGCCTTCGGAGACCAGGGTGGAGAGTCTCAAAACTGAGCAGACTGTCCCTGGGACCGAGGAGCTAACCACAGGCAAATCCAAGTCTGCCGTTCCTCCACACCCTGCGGCCCCTCCCCCACCACTCCCCGCCCCTCCCCTAGCTTCGGAGGAGAGTGCCTTGGACACTCCTGTTGTCCTGGTCAGCAATGGAGCTGACCTGGCCATCCCCACCTTAGACCCAAGTCAGCTTCTCTGGACTGAAGAGCCGACAAACAGAACCACTGTCCACTCAGGCACTGGCTTAAGTGTTAGCAGAGAAAATGCAAAATGGTGAGTCGGGGTCCAAACCCCATATTCCCTCTGCGTTCCCTATGAACTGGGTGCTATTGATCACTCAACCGCTCTCTTGGAAATAAAGGAACCTACTTTGCTTTTTATAATTTAATCTAGTGATTGTTAGATAAATACCCATGTCATCCAACCCTTGGTTATTTCATAGCCCTGCCCCTGGGAATGCCATGGGCTTCTGGAGATAGCGCCATTGGTCCTACAGGTAGATACCACTTCCGATCCATGGCTTTCAAGTACATTTAGAGCCTGTTTCATCACTACTCAACAGTCTTTTCCCTAGACAGTCGCTTCTCTTTCCTTATAGTGGTTCCTTTAAATCTTTACCACGTGTCCAGATTGCTCACCCACTCCTGCCTACCTTCGTTTCACCAAGTTATTCAGCCTTCCCCTTCTCTAAGAAAACAAAGACCATCAGGAAAGAGCTATTTCAAATTCCAACTCCTTTTCCTCTAACCTCGGGAACACTCCTTTCTTGCTTCCTTAATTCCCCCACCCAGTTCCAATGTTACCTCCCCTGAGAAGCCTGTCAATGGGCATCCAAACAGAATTGGTTATTGCATCTATTATACTCTGACAGCTCGTTTTCCTTCCTGGGGGACAGAACTAGCCAACGTGTTTTATTTACCTCTATATTCCCAGCAACCAGTACAGAAGCTGGTATGCCACAGGTATGCCATCATCTAGTTGCCCAAGCTGGAAACCTGTAATTCATCCTAGGGTCCTCATGCTCCATTGTTTCCTGCATCTAATCATTCATAAAGTCCTATCAATTTTCTACATGAAGGGAAACAAGCCATGTAGCTCACCTGTCCCACAGGTATGAAGGGACAACTGTCAGAGTATGGTAGACATAGCCAGTTCTGTCTAGGGAAGACTTAGATCCAGTATCTTCTGTTTCTAAGAATAAAACCAAATTCATTCTTCAGATCATTTAATTGAATATTTCCTCTTCCAAAAAAGTCTTTGTCATATTAGACTTAAAAATTTTTAGTACATTAATTAAGTTGATTTGGATCAAGAGACTAAAATATCAACTTTAATTATTGAATTGCTGATAATAACCATCTACTGAATACTTACATAATGTCAGGAACTTTCAGTTATTTAATTCACATGAGTTTCCCTGAAATATTTCTGGTTAATAAATGAGAAAACCGATGCTGAGAGAGGTAAAGCAATTTGCCTGAGATTACCCAGTTACTAAGTGGCGGGGCTGGAATGCAGACCCAGAGTTGCACACCAAATTCCATGTTCTTTTAAGTAATTTTGTAAGTTTCCAAAAAAAAAATAGTTACTCCCACTTCTTCTGTTGTTTCTTTTGTGTTTGTTTCTTGGTTTTGTTTGTTTGTTTGTTTTTATCACCTTGAGCACCATCATCCAAAGGAAAGCCAAGGAAAGATAAATAAATGCAAAATTGCAAATTACTTTATTTGGTTAATACTGTGGGAAAAGAAGATATTGAAATAAAGAGTTATGGTATCCCCAATACTTCCAGCGCATAGCAAATATCTTCTTTTATTTATAGTGACTATTTTTTCCGCCATTGCAATCAATTCCCACCTTTAGACCTAAACGGTCTTTCTTTCAGCGTATCTTTTTGCTTACCCTCTGTGTGCCACTCACTGTACTAAGCACCAAAGATACAAAAGTGGGCGACACGTTATAGTTAACATTTGTTTTTACCAAAGTCTCAAATGTCCCACATGCCCAGGAAGTATAAATATCTTAAATACGGGATAATAGAGAGAGTATATGGGTTTATCATTGAATATACTAAAGAACGAGGTGCAACATGTAAAATGATTCCTTAGATGGTCTTAAGCCCTGAGAGCCTGTATCCAAAGTGACCTGACTCTGCCTCGTCCACTTCCACAATCATTTAGGGAGAAAGCTGTGTTCTGCTAGGCACCGTGCTGCATGCTGAGGGCTTAATACCCGTCTTCAGCCCAAGTATGTGCAAGATTGTCAGACAAAAGAGTTGAGCATCTGTTCTCCATTTCCACTGGCACTGTGATCAGAGAGCAAGCTGAGGACATGATTAGACATCGAGGTATTTATAATAGATTTTCCTGTCAGGGTAACTACCATGCTTTCCTAGAAGAGGGCATAGAGTTTTGTTTTTTTGTTTTTTGTTTTTTTTCTCTGTATATTCCACAAAATAAAAAAACTTAAATTGCAGTTCATCCCACAGGGGTGGTTTGTGTTTGCTCTTGAGTTAATGAGGCTGGAATAAGTAGTCTCTCAAATTTCCTTCCAAATTCTTTCTTCTGTTTTTAAGTGGATATTCGAATTAGAATTTCTGGCTCTTAGTCACTTGCTTTACTTAGAACTCTCCCGCAGTTAAGTTTAGTCAACGAATGTGTGAAAATCCTGTCATCTTATGAAGAGGCTCTGTTTGGAATACAAATAACAAAACTTTAAAGGAGACAAGTGGCCATGTGCAAAAATATCTACCTCTATTCACATATTATGTGGTAGTAGCTATTTAGTAGATTTCATTGGCAGCTTCATCATTAACGTGTGTGTCTGCTACAATTTAAGGCAGAAACTAATAAGCCCTTCCGGAGCCCATATCCAAAAAGGACTTGACTCTGTTTAGTCCCTTTCTACAAAATTTGACGGAGTGCACTGTATTGTCCAGGATGTCCTGGAACCTTAGAGACATGTAAGAGCCAAGTTATGAATTAATCAATACAAATTTTAAGTATAATATTTAACATTAAATATAACCCATAATATAATAATAATATATCTTATGAAGTAAAAATAAAATATAGCGTAACATTTAATAGGTAAACTTAAGAGTCTTAAGTCTGGGTTCTCCTGGACTTGGCGCTCACAGCTGGGCAACTCACTCATACATAGCCTTCCCGGGTTCCACAGGCTATAAATTCTCTGCCTTCCTTTTACTATAGGACAGTTGGAAGTGTATGCAGAAGTCTTTGAAAACTGTAGAACATTGTAAAATACAAATGATGTAATTAAAATAATTGATAACATAATAGATCAGTGAGCCATGACATATACAAATACCAGGTCTCAACCCTGAAGGATCTTTTGTTCTGCTCTTCTGAATGTGTTACTCATTGGCATATCTTCTACACGTGCTGTGGTCACCCCCAGTGGCAAACTACAAACAAGAATGGCCTCTAGTGGCAATGGACTAGAAATCCAGAATGTGAAAAAGTTTCTCATAAAATAGATCTTCTCTCATTTAAAGTGAGATTTCACACTGTGAAAAACGTATGATGGTTCCTCAGAAAATTAAATATGGAATTACCACCTGATCCTGCAAATTCCACTTCTCTGTATGTTGCCCCCCGAAAATGAAAACGTATGCTTGAACAGATATTTGTACACTTACATTCATCGGCGCATTATTCATAATAACCAAATGGTAGAAACAGCCCAAATGTCCTTGAGCTGATGAATGGATAAACAAAATGTGGCTTCTACATACAGTGGAATATTATTCAGCCTTAAAAAGGAAAGAAATTCTGGCACATGCTATAACACAGATGAACCCTGAAGACATGCTAAGTGAAGTAGGTCAGACACAGAAAGCCAAATGTATGATTTCACTTATATGAAGCCCCTAGAATGGTAAAATTCATAGAGACAAAGCAGAGTAGTAGCTGCCTGGGGCCAGGGGAGGACGGCTGGAGAGTTTAATGGGTCTAGAGTTTGGGGAAGATAAATGGAAATGGAAGATGTTGATGGTTGCACAACAGTGTGAATATACTTAATGCTATTAAACTATACACTTACCAATGATTCAAATGGCAAATTTTATGTATATTTTCCACAACAAAAAGTAAATTTTCATATTTCTCCCTTTGAAAACAAGAGTTTTGGCTGTTGGATTTTTCTAGCATGTGAAAGAAAATTTTGAGAGCACTTGGGCTTATAACCACAAAGTAGAATTTTCAATACCTCAGATTCTGACAAAATTTACCTGTTTTTATTATAAAAAGAACTGGTTTGAGGCTTTTTTTAGTTCGTGAGAACAGCAAGCACATGTTTTGCACTAAACGGCCTTTTGGATGTGTGACATCCAAATTTGGATTCTATTTATATCAGAAAGTGATGTGAGGATCTTCTGTATCATAAAATGAAGATTATATTGTCTTCGATATGATACATTTTTTATGTGAAGTATATTTTTTGATTCTAGTTTGTGAAAATTGGCAAGCTTTGTATATGGATAGTAACCTTAAACCAGACTCAAGCTACACAGTAGGAAATGATCACATCACCTTTCTTCTAAAGAGTCCATTCAGCTCTCACATTTTCCATCTCATGTTATTAATATCGTCCTGTGACAGGAGGGTTCACAAGTGCAGAACCTAAGTGCAGGGAGGATACGTGACTTTTTTACTGTTAACTCATTGGCTCTGAGGAAAATAAGATTAATTCATAGATCAATGAAAGAAGATAGACTTTTCTATGTCACTACCCTTCTAGGTGTTGGGCAGCAAAACACTGTGCGTCGTACTTGTCCAGGAACTTTGGCGGTCGGGAAGGCAGACAAGTGAATGGTGGCTGAGGTGCAGCGTTCCACATGCTCCACTGGATCACCATGGGAGCGGGGAGATGGGATGAGGAACTAGGCTGAAGGCCAGTGACAGATTCCTGAAGGAGCTAAAGCTTTCACTGAGACTTGAAGGATAAATGGGATTTACAGGTCAAAGAAAAAGTACAAAGTCAGATATCCAGGAGCTTCTAGTCCATTTTTCTTTCCACTGAACCCCCTTTGCTACAGAAAAATAAATTCGCAAAATATAGTTTGACCATATCCACGTACTAAATATATCAGACACCACCCAGTCAATCTTTTCCATGTACAGATGAAGATTGTAAAACAAAGAATTAAATAACACATAGCATTCTTCCATGTCAGTGGCTTCGCTGGCCACTGTCTGCTTTCTCCTTTCAGCAGCCCGAAGGCTGCTCGTGAAACTAGCACTCCTTTTCATGGTGATGGTGTTGTTCCCCAGGGTTGCCCCGACCTTCACACCACCCCTGTGTTTCTGTGCCTTTAACAGTGTCACAACCAAAGACGAGCTGGGAAAGGCAGCACCTCAGCTACTGGCTCCCGGGCTGATGGGAGAATCCTTAGAATCCTTCAGTGCCTTGGAGGACGAGGGCCAAAGAGAGTACCGGGCCAATGACTCTGACTCCGATGGGCCCATCTTGTACACCGATGACGATGACTACGAAGAGGATGAGGACGAAGATGGTGGTGGAGAAAGTAAGGCTTCTTTCCAAGAGGTAGAAAGGAAAGTGGGGGGTGGACAGAACTAGCTGCATTTTGTAAAGAACAAAAGCTTCATCAGGAACCAGACATCTGGTGTTCCCTTTTCTCTCATCGTCTTTTTCTCAGATTGGAAATGTGTATATCTTAAGGTTTAGCTTTTGATGACAGGCCTTTCCAAAAGATGATTCTGTAGGGTGGAGGCAGGGGACAGGTCTTCGTTCCCGAGGCCGATATGCACATTTGTATTTGTACAAAGGTCGAAGCTTTCTAATTATGGAGGCCTTTCTCAGAATGAGGAGAGCTGGCCCTTCCCCCGGTCCTTTCTTGAATAAAGCACATCAGTGCAGAATTCCCTGGATTACTCACTGAAGATGTTTGAGGGTTTCACTTATTTTTATGCTGGGCTTTAAAGAGAGGGCAGGGAAGAATGAGTCAAGAATGACAAATACCTTTTAAGAATTAAAAACAATCACTCATCCACAGTAAGTGAGATGTATGCCTTCTAGGAAAGAAGGAAAGGAAAATGGATAAAGCCAACCATTTATGTGTAACTTATGGAACTGGAAAGTATGATGTTTTAAAAATCTTCTTAGCAGAATGACTTGGGAAGGAACTTCTCTGTGGAACTGAATTGATAGAGTATGGAAAGTTATTAGTATATTAATGATTAAATGTCAGTTTTTCAAACTCCTAGTTCATACTGAACAACAACAAAAAAATCATTATTATTCATCTGGTATTAACTATCTTCTGTGGAGATGTCAGGGATTCCTGGGTAATGTAAGATTAAAACAGTAGCAAAGGCAGACTTTTGCCAGTGTGGTTTTTGAGTAGAAGAAAAGGGAAAACCAAGATGTACTGTATTATATAAGTAAAGAGATTAAGTTTTTAAGACTTCGAAAAAAGGAAGGAAAGGCATTATGCAATCAGTAATTTCCATGACGTGCCAACTCAGCAAAATAAACTTCAAAATATCATTTTCCAAATGATGAGGTGATACTTGCAAGTTTTTTCATGGTACTCCAACATTTTTAAAAATAGTTCTCTAGTTTTTCAAAATGAACTACATCCAACTAAAAACTGTTTCTTTCCTTAAGTTAATTAAAATTCCGCTCTTGCATGTGGACAAAGAATTTGGTCTGGGCTCCGTTTAAAGTCCGTGCCATCTGCAGCCTTGAGTGCTGCTTGCTTAAAACCCTCTTTCTCTGTATTTCTTCCTTTTCCAATCCTCAGGTGCTTTGGCAAGTAAAATCCGACGAAGGGATACTCTTGCTATCAAACTTGGCAACAGACCATCTAAGAAAGAGTTAGAGGACAAAAACATCTTACAGCGTACATCTGAAGAAGAGAGGCAGGAAATCCGACAACAAATTGGAACCAAGCTCGTCAGGTAATTGCTGAAATTTCAGTACAGCACCGACGAATGCATACTTTCCCTCCTGCAGTTTCCTACATGAAGTCATTGTGACTTTCTTGTGTAAAGGCCCACTTGGCCTAACTGGTCTTTTAAAGTGGGTCCTGGATGGCGAAGCACTCAGAGAATCTGCCTTTCGGTAACTAGTCAGTGGCTCGGAGGTTGCTAAAGCCTAATCCAAGTATTGACAAAGTTTTTCTATAAAGGACCAGTTGGTAAATATTTTAGGCTTTGCTGGCCAGAAGGTCACAGTTGCAGCTACTCAACTGTGTTATTGTAACATCAAAGCAGCCATAAACCATAAACAAACGAATAAAATGCGATTCATCAAAACAGGCAATAAGCCTAATTTATGGCTTCACTAGCACTCCTGTCATTTCCAGGGGGTTCTGCCCTGTGGGTTGTACCATAAAAATATTAGTTAGGTTCAGTGGTCAGCTCCATCCAAGTCAGGTAACCATAGCCCCCATGTCAAAACTGGCCCCTTTTAACTTCAAATAAATAGTCATCTCACTTCTCTTCCTGCCTCCAGGCATTGTAGGATTTCTGCTTTGGCCACTAGTGACTTTGGAGGTCTATTTGGCAGTTTTAATAGAAGTGAGTGCTGACGCTCTCATTTTTTTATTTATCATCATTTGAAGCATATTTAAGTATTAGTTATTTAGTTGACTTCTCTCATTCTGCATAAATTGGGAGACGGGAACAGTCTGGAACACCAGAGCAGGCAGGAGGGAAGTCCTCCTCTCCTTGCTTGGAAGTGGAAGACTTCTCTGCTGTGTACCTGCAGGGTTGGCCCGCTGGGGCTCCAGGGGCCATTATCTGTTTTACAGGTGGGCTAAGCCCAGGCTTGTGAGGGTTTAAATGAGCTGTTACACTGAAGGTACTTTAGTGCCTGGATTGTAGCAAGCACTTAATAGAATTAAATTTTTTATTATTAATTTAAATTATTATATATCTCCTAAACTAGTAAAACACTTTTTAAAAATTAACCCAGTGTTGGCAACTTTATGAGAAAATGGGACACGTATAGCAGATTGCTCTTATACAGTGTATCTGAAGAACAACTTAACAGTATGAAAAAAAATTATATAGTAGTCTTTCTTTACAAGATAATTCTGCTTGAGAGACTATACAAGAGGGAAATAATACAAAGGAAAAAAAAAACCTATATTTTACAAAAGTGTTTATTTTAAGCCATATATAGCAATGACAATTTAAAACCAACCAAACATTCAAAAACGAGACTGATGAAGAATGCTGTGAAAAGTTAACACCGTGAAATAATCACAGAAGCGGTTGTCTAACCGTTTCATCAAGGATTGCATACTCGGAGGCGTATCGCAAGGAGGTGATAACTGGGCTTCCGTGGAGAAGTGTGCGTGTGTGTGTTTTGGAGGTTGGATGACAGGGGACTCCCTCATCCCAGGTCTACCCATCCAACCAGAACAGCACCTCTTCTGTCTGTTTTATATAAAGATGACACCCCAACCTCCCAAAGTTTGAGAGCCTCTGTACACACATAAACTACATGTATAAAAAAATTTTAACAGAGCATGGTTTTTAGTATTATAAATATGTAATTTTGACTAAATTGTTTTCCTAAGAACATGACACATCTAGTCACTGTCATTCAAAGATAAATCACCCACAGTTCTGCCTTAGAGAACTCTATGTCAAGTGAAAGAGACAGAATTATATATTGCATGATGGGGCCACATGAAAATCACAAACTTCTAAGTCAGAAGAACTAGTTATGCATCCTGGCTCCTGCATTCATTAGCATGTTATCTTTGGCAAGTGAATTAATCTCTCATTTCCTCATCTGTAAAATGGGAACTAGCCCGCTACCTTGATGAATTGTTCTGAGGATTCGAGATAAGGTAAGTTAAACCCTAGTACAGTACCTGGGACTTTAAAAGTGTGAACTAATGAGAGCTATGGTTATTATCTTTGTAACTGCTTTGTGGTCAGTGCTTTAATAGGTGTATAATCTATCTATAACCTCTGTATAGGGGCAAAGAACCAGGCGCCTTTAATTCTCAGTTGCAGGAAAGTTCAAATACCCACCTTCAAGGTACTATTTTAAGCATTTCTGAGATATCAGTAGTTGGAGGAGAGAAGGTCATTCTAGAGGGAGGAAACTCCATAAACAGAGGAAGGATGATGTCTTTGGAGGACGACATATTACTGATATGTAGTACGGCATACCTGGGTACACAGATGGCACAAAATCTGGCTGGTATAGATGTTCACTGGGTGCTTTTGTGGGCTCAATTACTCAAGTTAATGTCAAGGTAACTCTGATGAAGATTAAACTTTTAACAAAATTTTTAATGAGATATTTAAACTATCATTGATTTCAGTTCTTCCAACCGTGTCTGTCACAGCAATAAAAATTTAGAATTGATAGTATCTGTGTTAAAATTGCCTTTCATTATATTCGTTGAATTTGCAAAAACTCAGCCTATGTCCAGAGGAAGTTTTTGTTTGTGATTAACAACAAATAATAATGTACACAAGACTAATAATTAAGTTATTAAAGGGTGATTAGAATAGTCAGCTCTTGTGTACAAGTAGCTACTAATCACAAATGAACCTGGCTCGTCTTAATGGCAGATGGGAAGAGCCTATGTATCTGTAGATAACTATATGTATTGGAAATTCATTTGAGATCACAAAACCAGTATTTCATTTCCAAAACACTATGCTGTGTAGATTGATCATCTTCTGAGTTGATATGAACTCTCGAGCAGCAACCTTTTTTAGATCCTAATGACTACATATTAACGAGAGAAAAAGCTAAGCTGTTTTAACAGAGACCAGAAAGTGCAGTGGTCCAAACAGGCCCTTTCGCATGTCTCTTTCTTTTTCACATAACAGTGTAGAGGTAGGAGGATTATCCAGCATGGCTGGGGAGCATTGCTCCTTGCAGTCAGCTAGGCATCCAGGTTCCTTCTGTTGCTCTTCTGTCCCTATGGACACTCTCATCTGCATGATCCAGGCTGGGTCACATGACCATGTTTAAGTTCTGGTCTGCAGTAGAAGGAAAGATAGAGAAGGAGACACACACTCCATCAGTTTTAGGGTAGAAAGTGACAGTTAGAAGCACCACTTCCACCCACATCCCATTGCAAGAATTTGGTCATAGAGCCACACTTTATTGCTCGGGAGGCAGAATTCTATAGCTGGGAGGCTACCACTAAAACTCACGGGGTTCTGTTTCTGCTAGGAAGAAGGGAGAATGGGCAGTGGGATAGTTGGCAGTCTTAGCCACAATCTCTAGTCTCCATGCTAACAGAAAAGGCAGCTTTTATTTTGTAGGTTTAAAATGGATTTTTGTTTCGCAAAACATGAAAAAATATAGCTTTGTTTGTTGTTTCATTTTGTGTCTTCCACTAAGGGAGCCTCGTTTGTAACCTCCAGTATATCCTTTTTGTCATTATAGGAGACTTAGCCAGAGGCCCACCACTGAAGAACTAGAACAAAGAAACATCCTAAAACGTGAGTATCTTGTACTATACAGTGATGCCTGTGTAACTACCACCCAGTTCCCTCTAGAAAATCTGTTTATCAGTAGGAAACCTTAACGTATTTATTTATTCGCAAATGATTGAAGTGGCCCATTTGTATCACATGTCTATGCCATCATTTATAGAATTTAAAAAATAATTTCTTAAAGTTTGTGTTTCATTTTATGGCTTCGAGCCTGATATCCTCCAGACCAGTCATGGATGTGGCTGTTATTTTTAAGAAAGATGAAATATATTTCATGTATTCTTTCATCAAAGCATGAAATGAAATAAAATAAAATGCTCTAGTCTGCTTGCAAATATATGTCAAAGAAAAAAAACAGAGATTCCACAAAGAAATAAATCAAACATTTCTAAAAGATGAATAATAATACAGATTGCTGCCAGGTTTAACAAATGACTGGATTTAAAACTATTATGGTAAAAAGAATTCTTCAATCCATTTCATTTTCCTTTGTTATGATAACTGTTTCCCTCTTGAGTTATTTATATTTTGTCAGTACTTATGCAGTTCTCCATTCATTTTCCTACTTTATTTTCCCATTCTATATTTCCTTCTGTTTTCTTTGACTCTGCTTTTCACTCACCAGTCCAATCATATTAAAATTATTAAAGTTCATATATTAAAGCTATCAAATTAATGGAAACACAATTTGTCGTGCTGTAGTGTATCAATGTGGTTATTAACCACAGTGAATTAAGTAATGGATATTTTTAAATTGCGCCACTATAGTTTTATATATTATTAACCCAGTTTCAAAAAAGATTTTTGTTGTATGAAATATCGAAAAAGCTGTGATGGGCAGAGCTCCGGATAGTACTGTAATAGTCACGAGCCACTGGCATGTGGGAAATCTTTTTCAGCCAGGCTTTTAGAGTCAGCTTGGCCTGTCTAGATGATCCCTGTTCTCCAATCTGAGTTGTTTTCTTTACTGAAGGCAAGAAGGGTTTTAATAGCATATTTATACTACAGTTGCTATTACTAAGGCAACCCAAGAATGAGGACTGAACAGTGAGAGAAATTGCCAATCTATGGGATTTTTTTCTTGGAATGTTTTTTCTCTTTGTGTGTCAGTGTGTGTGTGTGTGTGTGTGTGTGTGAGAGAGAGAGAGCGAGAGAGAGAGAGAGAGAGAGAGAGAGAGAGAGAGAAGGAGCGCACGCATGAGCATATCTGGAATAGAGCCCAAGAAAGGACTTAAGTGACCGTCAATGTGTACAAGAGCCACTTTGTAGAGGGAAAAAGTCATGGCTACAAAAGAAAAAAATATTTTAGCTTTCTAAAATAGGATGGTAGCAACATCTAATTTCGACAACAAAACAGAACCAAAAAGGTTCATGGCTTTTGATAATTGGTTCCTGGAAAATATCTGTTGAATTAACTTATAGATAAGCTCAAATGTATACCATAAGTTCCTAAGACACAGATTTTGTTGGATGCCTGATACAATACCTAGAAAAAAGGAAGAGCAAATTCTGGGTAATCCTTTCCTGCTCTTGTGAAACAAAGAGTACTAAACCACGTTGGTGTTTGGTTTTTTTGAGGAACTGTTTCATAGATCTAGAAATTTGTCACACATTGATCTTAAGTGCTGTGTTGGCTTTTCTACCCCATTT